CAACTATAGGGAAAGGAATGACATGTGGGATGAATTATACACAATTCAAGGTTTGTGGGTAGGCTTGTGGCATCTAGGAGGGGACTTCAATGTTATGCAGTTTTCTGAGGAAACTAGCAATTCCCAACAATCCATCACAACTAGCATGAAGAAGTTTAATAGCTTTATTGTGAATTGTGAGTTGAAGGAAATCCCACTTTTACAAGCCAGATTTACTTGGCCTAATCTACAAGAAACCCCTTAGTGGTCAAAGCTGGATAGATTCATCTTCAACTTAGAATGAGAGAATTACTAGGGTAATTTGGTGTCTAGAGTTCTACCTAGAGTAACCTCAGATCATTGTCCCATAATAATAGGTCTGGAAGATTTCATCAGTGGACCAAGACCGTTTAGATTCGAGAACATGTGGCTTACCGACCCGGACTTTGTGAATAAAGTAAAACTTGGTGGAATGAGGAATAGAGGGGAATAAAGTGGAAAGGGGTAAGATTTCACAAGAAATTGCAGAAATTAAGATCCAAAATAAGAAAGTGAAATAGGGATCATTTTGGGAGGATTGAGGAACAAAAGGTAACCCTAACCTCTAGGATAGAGGAGTTGGCCGAGAAAGAAACCCAATCTGGGTTAGATGAGAATGATAGAGATCTGAGGAGACATTTAAAGAAAGAGTTGGAAGAGGTACTGCTAAGAGAAGAAATAAGCTAGAGACAAAAGTCAAGGCATAAATGGATTAAGGAAGGTGGCGGAAACACTAAGTTCATCCATGATGTGGCAAATGGGAAGAGGAAGAATTTTGTGGCGAAGTTAGAGATAGGAGAGGAGGTGATCACTAACCAAGAGGATATTGCCAGGGGGTTTGTGGACCATTTTAAATCAATTTATAGATGACCCTTGAATGAGAGGCTTGAAATGGAAGGGGTAGATTGGCCAAGTTTGGATGAGGAGAAGATGAGGTGGCTGGAGCTGGAAAGGAACTTTAAGGAAGAAGAGATTAAACAGGCGATGTTCTTGATGGATGGATCAAAATCTTCGGGCCCAGATGGTTTTACAATAGCATTCTACCAAGATTGTTGGGAGGTAATAAAAGATGATCTTTGTGATGTTTTTAAGGAGTTTGCAAATAAGCTTGTGGTTAGTCAAGGTATCAATGCTACTTTCTTGGCTTTAATCCCGAAGAAATTTGATGATATCCATCCAAAGGATTTCAGGCCAATGAGCTTGGTGATAAGTGTCTATAAAATACTAGCAAAGGTTCTTTCTCTGAGGATTTCAGGCTCAAGGGGCTTTTATTCGAGAACGTCAGATAATTGATCAAATCCTGTTTGCAAATGAGTGTGTGGAGAAGATGAAGAGAGTCAAACAAAGAAGATTTGTATATAAGCTAGACCTAGAGAAAGCCTATGACTTGGTGGATTGGCAATTCCTATTAGAGGTGTTGAGGAAATGTGGGTTTGGGGAAAGGTGATGTAGGTGGATGATGGGTTGTGTTAGTAACTATCACTATTCTATCCTAGTAAACAGAGTGGTAAGGGACTTATTTCCAGCCTGTAGGGGTATTAGACAAGGGGATCCCCTTTCACCTTTCCTGTTTACCTTGGTAGCTGACATATTCGGTCGAATCATCGCTCGGGCTGATAGGGAAGATGCCATAAGGGATTGGAGAATAGGCAGAAACCAAGTTCCTATTACCCATCTTCAGTTTGCAGATGATTTAATGATTTTCTATGATGGAGGTTTTAGTGAGAGGGTAGGGAACTTAATGGAGTTGATTAAAGCCATTCAAAAAATCTCCAATTTAAAAATCAACTTGGAAAAGAGCTGCATAGCAGGGAACAACTTGGAAAATGAGGACTTGAGGAGGTTGAGGCTATTGCACTTTGTCTTGGTTGCTCTACTTCCTCTTGGCCTATGTCCTACTTGGCTACTTAGGGCTTCCATTAGGAGCAAATCCTAGGGAGAGTAGGTTCTGGACTCCAGTCATAGAGAAGTTCAAGAAGAGGTTAGCGGTTTGGAAGAAAAATTACATCTCTTTGGGTGGAAGGATTACTTTGATAAGAGCTACTCTCACAACCTACCTACTTACTACCTCTCTGTCTTTAGGATACCACCTAAGGAAGCGAAGAAGCTAGAGAAGTTGATGAGAGACTTCCTTTGGGAACCGGAAGAAGGAACAAAATATCATTTGGTCAGATGGGAGATTGTGGGTAAAAGAAAAGAGGAATGGGGTTTTTAGGATTAGGGAATGTGATAAAAAAGAATGTGGCTATGCTAGGGAAGTGGTTGTAGAGGTGGCCTTTGGAGTGAGAGAGACTTTGGCATGAAGTAGTGAAGAGTATTCTGGTTGCTCAGAGAATGGATGAGATGCTGGTACATCAAGGAGGGCTAGCTTGGCAACACCTCGGAAGGCAATCCACAAAATCCTCCAACAATTCCTTAGTTGTGTTAGGTATGATATTTGATCTGGTAGTCTAGTAGACTGGTACTTCTGTTCGTTTATGGGAAGACATTTGGGCTGGAGATCTACCTCTTAAAGATCTTTTCCCCTCCTTGTTTTCTATTTTGTTGTATAAAAATGAGGTATTCTCAAATTTCCTTCCTTCTCCTTTAAACCCGTCAGCTTTGGCTTGGGACTTTGGTTTTCGTAAAGGGTTAAGGGATGAGGGAGTCAATTGTCCATCTAACTTGCTTTGCCTCCTAGATAAAGTGTGGTTGGATCCCTCGTTGCCAGATAAAAGAGTCTGGACCCCTAACCCCAAAGGGTTCTTTTCTTGTGGTTCCTTTTTTAAGTCACTTTGCAACACCTCCTCTCAATAGGGCTTCCCTGCTAAAGATGTCTGATTTAGGCCGGTCCCCCCTAAAGTAATGGCTTTTTGCTAGGAAGTGTGCCATGGCAAAGTTAACACCTTGGATAACCTACAAAAGAGAAGACTCTTTCTCTTTTTTTTTTTTTTTTTTTTTTGAATTAAGTTAACTGATTTCATTAAAGGAAAGAGAGGTAGACAAGAAGGTGTACAAATACAAAGTAGGGGCCAGACGCCTGAGAATTACACAGGAGGAAAAATATCACAGTACAAGGTCTCCAGAATGACTCCTAATTTTGCTAGACCATCTGCAATGGCATTTAGCTCCCTTGGAATCCAGTATAGAGAAACATTCGTATGAGCCAATAGGTCCCTTGCCTCTGTTAAGAAGTGACTAAGTCTCCAAGGTCCAGCCTCCTGTTGTTCCAACCACCTTATAGTATTTGCTGAGTCACCTTCAATGGAGAAGTTCTGAATACCCAGTTTACTGACTAGGTGAATCCCTGTGAGAGCTGCTAACACTTTGCCTTTGTGGATTCAGCTATCCCAATCGGTCCACTGTATACCCAGCAGGTGAATCCATTCTCATCTCTTAGGATTCCCCCTATACCGGCAGCTCCAGGGTTACCAAAAGCACTTCCATCAAAGCTAAGAGTCCAAGTTCCTTCCCTTCTTACTGAGGGAACTCTGGGGGGAGGTGAGATAGGGGGGGAGGAGACCAGGAAGTTATACACATTTCTGTTAAGGTCATTAACATTGATTCCTGTGAACTCCTCTGAGCTGGAAGCCCACATATTGCAGTAATAAGTGATGTGGTTGATCAGCACACCCTTAGATTTTGTCATATTTTCAAACAGCCAATTGTTCCTTTCCTCCCAAATTCCCCAAGGAACAGCATGAAGTACTACCAGCCAGTAAGTCTTACCTCTCTTGCTCAGACCTCTCCTTGCCACTGTGAAATCAGTTCCTGAAGGTGCTTAGGAGCCACCCAACTAAAGCCAACTAACTGTAGGAAGAAGTTCCAGATGTTGCAGGCTACCTGGCTCTATATCTCTCCAAACTGATGCACTCTTTGCAGATCTCACGGTGAAGACTGTTATCATTTATTTCTTTCTTGTGATGTCACTGCAGAGCTTTGGGTTTGGCTATTCTCCTTATTTGGGTGGAGGTGGGAGACGCCAACAGCAATAAACTTTCTGTTCAACCCGTTTACCTTCTCTTGGCCCCAGAAAAGAGGAAGAAGTATGTGAAGGGAGTGCAAGAGAAGCTTTGATTTGGACAGTTTGGGAAGAAAGGAATAGAATATTCCACGAGAAGGAAAGGAGCAACCAGGCCTTGAAGGATTGCATCATGAATAGAGCAATACACTGGTTAAAGTCTATGGAACTGTTTCATCCTTTTTTCATTTAATGATTTATGGAGGAATTGAACAGCAGTAGCAAGCTGCTCATCCTTAATGGGTAGGGTTTTCACAAACTGGGCCCTCCCTCCACAAGGTTTTTTGAAACTGAACTTTGATAGGAGCAGCCAAGGAAACCCAGGACCCTCTGGTTTGGGAGGAGTTCTGAGAAATGAGAATGGAGAGGTCATTCTTCTCTACTCTGGCCCTTTGGGAGTTGGGAATCTGTTAGAGCAGAATTGTTAGCTGCCATACAAGGAATTCTTCTTGCAAAAGATTTGGGAGTGGAGCAGTTGCTGATTGAGGGGATTCTAAGATAGTAGTGGGGTGGCTAAATAGTTCAGAGGTCACTTGGATCTACAACAACAAGCTCAAGAGATATATATGGCTGACAAGAGACATGACTGTTATGGTACAGTGGGTGGGGAGATCAGCGAATGCCCTTGCAGATACTTTGGGAAAACAAGGGACAGTTAGGGATACACTGTTTTGGGCTAAATTATAATCTTATAGTAGCAAGCATGTGTTCTTTTTTTAGTTTTTTTGGTTCACTTTTGTGGGTTCCATGTCTTGGAGAGGCGGCAGGGTCTGTAATCTCCTCCTGATTTTAATTAAATGTGATTCATTATTTATTATTTATCAAAAAAAAAAACAGTGATTTCCATAGCAGAAGTTAAACCCAATGCTCACAGAGAATAAATAACTACAGTAAGTTTTGCCAATTACTATAAGCAATGCTATATTTAATAAAAAATAAAAAATAAAAAAAGAGATGAAGCATGTTTAGTGAAGCAACACACATTCAGGAACATCTGTCCTAGTTGGAACAGCAATCTGCAGCAAGACTACTTTATCACGCCAGTCTGGATTTTCCTCGAGGAACTTTTCAAATGCCAATATCTTTTGGGGAATTCCTTTAATCATGTCAAGGCGATCAACACCTAACATTACCTGCCAAACAGTAATAACAAAACAATAGATAATGAAGAGCATATATACAACAAACAATGAACTAAAGGTCTGAAGTTCAACCACATAAATCCTAGAAATCATGCACTCATTTCATGCAAAGGAGTGCTTTATTAACAACATAGTGGAAAAAATCAGGTTACAACATATAGGAACAAGAAAATAAAAGAATATAGCAAGTATGTCAAATCATCTGCATCTGATCAAATCACATATCAACGAAATCATATTTAACAAGGTTAAAATGTTGGATGGTATACATCAACATAGGTTCAATTCTTTCAAGGGGAAATTTAAGTGCATAATCATTAATCATTTCTTTAATCTTAATTTTAGTTGTGTAGATACATATTGGATAAATCAGAAAGCAATACCCATTACATGAAACCAAAAAAAAAAAAAGTTCAACACAGGGAAAGGAGATTCTAATAAGTATCATAAAAAATAACAAAATGACCAAGATCCCAGCAAAGGATTGTATAGTAAAGAAAACACCAGTTGAACATCAAGTAAAAAAATTTCATAATATATATCCCAAATTCAACTAGGAAAGAATATGAGATTAGTCCAAGTGTTCCATGCCAACCACTATGAATCACATAACTTGCCACATAGCATTAATCCTAATAGTAACGGAAAGAACAATCTAAAGCAACCACAATCATAAACTGAATGGAAAAAAGCCTCACATCTTCAACACATCACTTAAATTGACATCTAGGAGGGCATCAACCCTCTATTTACTCTCTTTCCAAGAGAAGGCCTTCAGAATTTTCCATGCAGTATCATAAAATGGTAAGATTGCATTTTTTTCTAGGAAAACAGTGTTAAATACTCTCACATAATGAATTATGGGGAAGATAGAAAGAAATGGTATAAAGTATATGAGACACTTCTTCCAACTGATTTCCATAGTGTTGGACAAATTTCAACATAGCAAGAAGGTCAACATGTGTTGGAGAATAAGATATATGTGTCAAGCAACCCACCCATGAAACTGTGAAAAGAAAATCATATAGAAACTAAATCAGGAGGGAAGATTTCCAGTACAAATCACTCCTCCCACTATCTATTACTTAACAGACTTATATTGGATTCCGACTGATGGCAATTGATATCATTTAAACAACTCAACTATGCATTGTCCGGTTGTCCCAACTATATGGGCTGGCCACATGAATCCTGTTCTGTCATTCTGCTCTGTTCAGTGTCACATTCATTGTTAAATCATGGGCCCTTAAATCATATCACACTACTTCAACCCATGTCTTGGTCTAGCCCTAGCCCTTCTAGACCCTTTCAACTTGTAATAGGTACAATTCACTAGTGCTGTAGATGGTCTTCTCTACACATGATTTTTTTTCATCAATAACAGAACACTTCATTAAAATAAAAATATTGAAGTACAAGGAAACAGCCATCCCAGAGGTTGAGATGGCCTACCCCAGAGCTGCTCTAATCAGATAAACAGTACATCAAGTAGAAATCCCATCCCCCCAGAATAGATTCTCACTTCCAACCCCTTGTCTTGCTAACCCATCTTCCAAACCATTGGCAACTCTGTAAACCCACTGAACAGCAACAACCTGCCTCTCTTTAGCTCAATGATTGCTTATACTGCCAACAACACTTTCCTTCACTACGTATCCACTCCACCACCACTTTTGAATCCCCTTTAATGATGATATTGATGAAATTGTTTCTCTTGGCCAGCTTTAAACGTTGTAATACTGCTAGAATTTCTGCTCTAACTGCATTTCCATAGCCTGCTGGTCCAGAATAAAGTTCAATTATACTCCCATCATGATTTCTTTTCTACACATGATTAAACCATCTTATTCTACCTTCCCTCATTTTATAACCTATGGAAGCTACTCCTGGGTTCCTTCATAAGTTCATTTCTTATCCTGTCCTTGCTAGTTTTGTCATCCATCCATCTTAATGTTTGCATTTATAATACACCCATACTATCCGAAGGAAAAAAAAAAAAAAAAAAATCTATTACACCCATTTTCTAGACATGTTTCTTAGCTGCCCAACACTCCAATCTACACAACATCTCTAGCCTTATAACCATTTTATAAATTTTTCCTTTTAGCCTAAGGTGTCATTTGATAATAGATGAAGTTGCTAAATTGAATGACTTGTTGCTTTAACTTTACTGGTAAAATAATCAAGTAACAAAATATCCAAAGGTATATTCAGCCATTAAGGATCCCACAACCTCCTTAAAACCTTATTCACCAAAGGCCAAATCAATTAAATTTTTTAGTTCAGCCACTTCAGCTGTTCTCAAACAGACCCTAGGTGGTATTCTCCTATCACATAGGACTCCAAATGCTCCCTCCCTTCGGCTCATCCAGATGTAATTCTATGGTCAACATCCCCCACAATCTCTCCCATGTTATGGATTATCAAACCAAGGTAATGAAAGAAGTCACATTGAGATAATGAAAGAGAACAGATTCAGATGAGGGATGTATCAACTAGCATTAATGCAAAAACATGAAGCCCGTTCTATGTCCATTAGACTCCTTAAACATGTGATCGAGTTGTATTGTGTTAGCCATCTTGCATTTGAAGCTAATGTGGTTGTAAACAGACTACCCATTTTTTATAGTGTTCCATCAAAGTTTTTGGAGCCTAGTAGGTAGAAGCTAAGAAATTGAGTTCTCTACTAAGATGCATAGTTTGCAATTTCCTATGTCTAATTCAAGATCTTTGTTTTCTAGCAATAAATGTAAGGATCATGGTTCACAATATCAGCAAAATTTGGCAAAATTTCTCCATTTTCTAGGTGGCAATACGAAATTTTCCAAGAATCATTTTTTTCTAGGGTAAAATAAAGCCTCCCCTGAAGTTTCTGACAATAATAAAATCCTCCCCTGAGGTTTCACTTTCATAAAAACCTCCCCTGTAATTTACCAAAAACCTGCAGTTACTTCCCTTCCATCTTTGTTCCAGTAATGAAGACTTCAAAGTTACAAAATTACCCTTACAACTTATTAGGGAATCTTTCAATATAATTCAAAAGGCCAAATTTACCCTTCTAAACTTCATTATACCTAATGTTTTTACAGAGTAATTCTTTTCAATCTAATTCAACGATCCTTTTAATTAACAGTTAAAAATTCTTTTGGGGGTATTTTAGTAAATTTTCATATAAATTGATAGATCAGAGTAAAATGGGTACTTTTGAAATATTAATCAGTTAGACCAACGTTTCTTGTCCATGGCAATAAGAAAAGGTAGGTAACTGCAGGTTTTTTCAATACTGCAGAGGAGGCTTTTGTGAAAGTAAAACCACAGGGGAGGTTTTTATGATTGTCAGAAACCTCAAGGGAGGTTTTTATATTTTACCATTTTTTCTAATATCTCTGATATTTTGCCAATACTTCAGAGATATTTCAGATTTCATTGATAGACTATATATTTAAAGGTTTAAATTTTAGAGTATTATTAGAAACTTTCGGATATTTCATTAAAATCATCATAATTTTTTAAAAACAAGAATAAATAGGGGAATCAGTGATTGGATTATTAGCTTACTATTTTGATATGATTAATAAATAAGTCACTATAATTCAAAAGAAAAAGGCACACAACTACAAAAAAGGATTAAATCTAATCGGAACATATAGTAACAATGAAAAGAAGTCAAAAGGGCAAGTAAATGACATGAGTGATGAAGAGAAGATGGCTAAAAGACTATAAGGGAGACAGAGAGAAAAATACCTATTTAAGTCTTTTGATCTTCTTATTCATCAAAAAAAAAAGTCTCTTAATCTTCTCTTATGTAATTTATGTAGTTGTTTGCAATGGTTTTTAGAGCCTCATATGTCTTATTATACTTCTTTTAACAATTCATTGAAGGTTTATTAACTAATTCCATATTTTTAGAAAAATTTCCAAATATCTTAGCAAAATTAGTGAAATATCCCCAATTTTCCCCATCTCTGCATGGTGAAACATCCATCAACATCGAAATTGTGAACCATGGTAAAGATTATTACTATAAGACTAATAAGTGTACAATTACAATATACATGATGCAGCTAACCATTTTTTCATTGATTAGTTTACCATATTCTCATGCATGTGCATATATGGATTTAGTGTTTCTAGTTAAAATTGTGTTTTGTAAATATGGGACAACATCTTAAATAAAATGGTTTCTTATGTGGGAAGATATGAAGAAATAGAATTCCAAGAGAGTGGTTACTTTGTGCAACAAATGCCAAAGGTTAGGTCTATATCCAATCTACCCCTCTCAAGAGCCTAGATAGCCAGAACCAACATTGGGTGATGGCCTTTGGTCCTCTAGATACATAAACAAACCTTATATAAGATTGTTGGACTAGATGTCAACTGTACCACCTTAAATTTAAGATGGACTTCAATCAATTTTATTTATATTTGACCAAAATGAGATATCACCATAAACTGACAACAACCCTACCTTCCGGCCAGCAAATCTCTGTTTCAATTCATTGATGTGCTCTTGGACCTGAGGAAGCTCAAGTGCTCGAATGAACCGATCAGAATCTATCCCAATGGGAAACTGAAGTTTCAAGTGGAAAATTAAATAAATGAGCATCACAAATTAGATAGATGATTGGTATAAAAATGTTAACCATGCTGAAGCATAGATATGCTAATAAGCCAATATGACATAATAACAATAATAATAATTATAATTATGATGATGATGATGATGATGATGATGATGATGAATTGATGATGACGACATAATAACAATAAGAACATATATCCAGAAATCAAATTATCAAATGAACCAGTTTTATATACCGCAGCTACACGAGTCAGCTTTCCTTGATCCTCTACTCCTTCAGGTGTACCCTCAAGTCCAAGAATACGAGTACAAGCACTAACAAAGTGCCTTGCATAGTCATATGTATGGAAACTGGAAAATAGAATATCTAGTGATTAAAATCACCTATGCCAGGTGTGTTGTCATGCAACCATCCTACTAAAAAACAACTTGACCACAAAATTTGCTAAAAATAACAATTTAATAATAGCATTAAATCATAAAAGTAAGTAATTGAAGAAGCAGATCAAGTCACTACATTTTAGGAATAAAACTCAATTACCCAAATTGGATTATACAACATAACACCAACTAGTTTCCAACAAAAAACTGGTAATGAGGTAATTCAAATGCTAAAATCTCTTCCTACATCTTGGTTCTTGGATAAGGATAATCAAATAAAATAATTACTCATTTGACTAAAGCCCCATTTGTTTTCCAAGAAGTAGGGGTGAGAAAGTTAGTAGGTCCCACAGAAAAGAAACAAACCCACATTCGTCGTCCGGTATTAGTGGGTCCCGCAAAAAAGAATGATTCCCAAGCAGCTCATTTACCTGGGGAAGTAATACTCTCCTCAGACTTGGGTAAATTACTTACCCATGTGTCAAAAATCGATAATACATGATGACACAATATTGTCCCTTCAATAATGTCACTTTCTTAGATAAATCAGTCATTATACACCTTGACCTGGGGAAAAAAATAACATTGGTAAGTGCTCTTATCCAGATAAGTGTTTCCCAAGAAACACTTGCTCGAATAAGTGCATTTACCCAAGTAAGTCATTTACTGAGACGCAAACGAGGTCTAAGAGCCAAAAGTACTAGAATTTCTACTAGCACTAGAATTTCTCCTTGGATGCAATAATGTCAAAAAAAATCAAAGATCAAATAGAAAACTTTGGTTCTTGACCAACTGCCTAATGGGAGAGCTATCAAATATCAACACACATTTAAAAATTTCCAAAATATGTATTTATTTCTTGTTGCTGATAAAAAAATGTTTAGGTAAAATATATATTTCTTGACTAGGAAAAGGAAAATGAAAATTGTATATTAACATGAAAGAAGAGAAGATGTACATAATGGGATGTAAATTGATGTACAAAATGTATAAAAATAGCCCCACCCCCAGAAAAAAAATAATAAAAAAGAAGGGGAGAAAGTAGGTAAAGAACTGAAATCAAAAAAAAAAGAAAAAGAAAGAAAAACTTCCCCATTCCAGTTTTAGCAAGTCCATCCTCCACATTATCCATTTATGCAGGATTCCCTAATTTTGACAAGATAGCTTGATGGATGCCATAGCCCCCTTCTATCATTGGCTTCATCCTATAGCATTAACCAAATGCTCTTCAAACCACTAAGAATGCAAGTTTGCTCATTTGGCTAACATTGTTGCCATAAGAAGGGCCCACTGTAACCCCAATGCATGTTGCCAACAGACTTAAGAACACTAACCAATGCCAGCTAATTTAAGTCAACAAGAAGATGTACTTTCTATTCCTTTATTGTGAAATAGCACATGGTTGATTTATTCCCTGCCTCAGAGACTTATGATGCATGCAAAGGAGTTATAGGAACTTTAAAGCCCATACCTCGGAAGAAGGTTACAAGTGTTTAATTATCCACAAATAAATTCTCACAAAAATAATCATAACTTTAGGTTGTAAAATAAAGTACCAAAATCTTCCTTCTGAGAAAACATTAGTTACCAGGTTAGAGATGATAGAAGAAGAAGAAAAAGAATGATTTGATGGTAAAAGTGCCTGAAATGGATGGGAGGCCAAATGTATCAGTCAGGTTCATATCTACACAAAATCAAGCTTAAATTACAAGTTGGGTCAATATAAAATTTAAATATTTCATAACATATAGAATCAAAGAACAATTAAAAGTTTCAAATTATAAATAACACAACACCTGTGGCTTGAAAGATGATTAGAGAAGTAACACATAACATTCTGTTTTTCAAATGAAATGTGACCCAGTGTGTAAATATTGGTGGTATGTGGAAAAAGTTAAGAGTCCAATAATAAGCATCTTAGCAGTTAGAACTAGTTGAAAATTACACCTGCAGTAATTCAGGCAATGCAAGAAAAGGAGGAAGAAGAAGAAGAAAGAAGTTTCAGCAATAGGTTGTAGAAGAAGAAAAAGAAGGGAAGAGAGAAAAGAAGAATACGAACCACTCTCTCTAGCCCCCTTTTCATCACTTTTATTAACTTAATTCTAAAACTAAGTACAATAAATTAGATGCCCTTAATGGTGCGGCCAGCACTAAAGGAATTGTTTCGACTGCTGCTACAGTAGTCCGAACAGGAAGAAGAAGAAGAAGAAGAAGAAGAAGAAGAGAAGAAGAAGAAGGGTCAGTCGAAAATCTGATGGTTAACCCATCCAGTCGACCCCCTTAATCTATATTAGATTCTAATAATGTTTACA